CCCCCCCCCCCCCCCCGACCCCCTCCCCAGCACCCCAACTTCCGGCCCCAGACTTGGTTTCCACACAATTCTGGACCTTGCCAGGGCGCAGCTTAGAGGGGTTCTGACTCACTTCTTTCCCCGTCTCTAGAGGATCCTGTGGATCCTGTCAGATGTTTAGGAAGATGTCATAACGCCAGTCAGGTATTGCACAGGTCTTTATGGGAAGAGGCTTCTCCCAGGCGTTTTTCATAGAGATTATTGATTATTAGCCTCCCAAACTACAGGGTCTGGTTCATATTCCCGTATTGCATGCAATGCAACGGCTTCCATCCCCGGCCCTCCTTGCCCCCTCTTCGCCTCCCGCAAAGCCGCCCCCCCCTTCCCCCCCCGCCGCCCTCCCCCTCTAGCCTTCCGTCCCGCTGCCCGCTGTTCCGCCTTTTTCTGTCAACCTCTTCTATTCTTAGAGACTGATGGCACTAGGAAGGGACAAGTTGATTTGAAACGGTCTTGTTCCAGGCTGCTATACAAGCAGTAAGACCTCGGCTCAGCACCCACAACAGCCCGCATTGCGGGAGAGTAGGTATGTCTTGGGGGGTTAGTGGGTCTGGTTCATATTCCCGTATTGCATGCAATCACTGTTTTTCGTTTTGTCGGGGGTTCCTATTTGGCGGCAAGTCGGTCTGCAGGGCCGGGACTCAGGCTCGCTTCGGAACCAGGTGCTGAGGGTTTAGCTTGGTGCTTAGCCGCCCCCCCCCCCCTTCCCCCCGCCACCCTTTCTAGCCTTCCCTCCCCGCCCGCTCTTTCGTTTGTCAACCCAAGTATGCAGCTGGAGGATTTTGTAATTGCGATAAGGGTTTCATAAGGCTGCTGTGTTAGCACACCTAGGATCCTGTAAGGGGTTGTCAAATTAAGCAGTGTATATGGCAAGACTATGCAGGGCTTCTATTCTTAGAGTATGATGGCACTGTGTACATTACAGTAGTTCTGCATGATGCTGCCGCCCTCACCATCATGCTTCAGCAACCTGCTGGACCTGCCGAATAAACCTCTGCTGCCACTCTGGCGGCAGCTGCACAATCTCTGAGACGGCACTGCTGACCGACACTCGAGCCGGCCGAGGCGGCGCGCGGTGGCGTTAATTTCACACCAAAATCGAGACCCCATGGCCACTTTAATGGGCCTCATTGCTTGAAGTTGCTTTTGTGCTGTCTAGTACTGATGATTTGATCACCCAGCCGAGTTAGAGTTACAATGATTCCCTTGCTGCGGCCAATGCTTGAGAGCTAGCTGAGTGGACTCCACATGTCCGGCGAAATACAGCTGGGGGGACAAGCTTCGAAAACACTGCAGGGTGCACGGTATGCACCGGCACCCAGGATCGCTGAACTTTATGTCGCAAGGACAACCTCTAGGAAAGTCCAGGGCTGAAAGAGGCTTGGCCCTTGTGTGATGCAACTACGCATGACACTCGTCCCGAAATGAACCACTCAACACTTTGAGCTTCATTGCCCTGATTAGTGGTTCCCCATGAACAAATGTGACAGCAAACACATTTTCAAGGCTTTGGATGCACAATCTTGGCCAGCAACAAGTTGAAGTCTGCTTTAATCAGCCATGGCAAATTTGTAATCAGTCTGGTTTGTACTGCTGCGGCCATGCGAGTGGAGGTCCTTCCATGTCCTGATAGGCCTGCTTGCAAGGTTGCTTCTACTGTGTGCCCTGGTGCAATGCGGGCCAAACTTGGGTTGCTGCCAGCAGCATGCAAGCGTACGTTTTTGGGACAATCAAATTGTAGCGAAACGGGAGGCTGTTGCGCGCTGGCATTCAGTGTCACTTGCATAAACGAGCTCCTAGGCTCGCCAAGCAGTTGCATTTGGACAGTGCCGTAAATGCGTCCACAAACCTTGAACGCAGTGCGTCTGCTAACTGTGCTTTAGTCTTCAGCAGGCAGGCTATGGCCCAAAGGCTTGACCAAGTGATCTCCAGCCCCCGCTTGGATATCGGCTTGGATTTGTGCAGAGCATCCTTCCACCTACGTTTACGCCGCACAAGAGATCGCCTTTCTCGACTCTTGAAATTGTCTTGTGCACCGCAGTCATTTGTTGGGGAAGTCTTTGATGTCTTTGGACGTGTTTGGCATTGTTTCGCCGGGGCGCCTGCTGGGGCCTGCGGCCACTAACAGATCTCCACCTACGTGTTGCTTGACTGGCTGTCCGAGATAGATTCAAATACATTCCAATAGATGACGGTGGGCTTGGCAAAGTCAACACATGCTGAGCAAGCACATCGGACTAAGCCAGATCTAATTGGCATTGCGCTTTACAACAACTTTGTAGACGACTCGTCGTAACTCGAGGTTGTTGTAATCGCCCGCTTCTTCGCATCATCAATGGTGTCCTGGCGTGTGTCAGTCCCATGGTCCACTTCTCTACATCTGTGCGTGAGAAGCACGGAACACAGGGCAGGGCAGCCCTTTTCCAGTCTTCTTTCATGGCATCAGCAACTTCCTCCTTCATTTTATCAAATCGGAAGGCGCTGACATCGTACCTGAGCTGAACTGCGTGGGCCTGTCACATGTAAACTTCGCAAGCCAGTTGCAAAACTGTGCCAAGCCGCTGTTGGAGCCGATCTTCCTTGATGATCGGCATCGTGCACTGCACTTACACACTGGGCACAACTTTTAGGTGTGCTCGCAGGGAAAATTTTGCACACTGAATTCACCTGAGCCTACGCTTGAGCCACATGTTGAAGATGGATTTAAAAGAACACTGTAGCGTGCGGAGAGCTGCATGTTGCTACATGCCCTCGACCTGACTGAGTTCATCCTAGCCTGCCGTGTGAACATGTGCCGCAGCTCAACACTGCGATACCCTGCCTGCCCGGCTGCATCCTCGCATGCTGGGATCAACCGTAGGAGCTCGGGCAAAACCACCTGCCCACACACATTCTTCAGTTTATCTGGAGCTGATCTGCATGTCCCGGCAAAGTTCATGCACAAATCTCGGTAGCAGCCTCTGTGTATAGATCCTGTGTGAGACCATTCACCCGTTCGACTTGCATGAGATGAGCGCCTTCCACAGCGTTCTGCAAGATATGTATCCAGACCTCTTGTTTGCCTGGCCTAGTAGCAGCCTCAAAGAGTAGCGATGGTCATCGAGCTCCCACGCCTTGCCAAACCCCTCAGTTCGATTCCAGCTAAATCTGATCCAATAGCATGGGGCTGAGATGGCAGCTGAAGAAAGCTCCAATGGCTGGGCCTGGCAAACTGGCCATCCTGAGCCTGAACCTTCTGCGAGCTGCTTAGGAACCCTTACAACTCAGAACTCACTCAACGTGCATATTAAGCAACCAAGCAAAACCTGCAAAACAGAAGATCAGCAACAGGTCAGATGGCATCACGAAGCTTCCCAGCTGAACATGTTGTCCAAAGAGAGAGGGCACGGTGTCTTGCATCCGTTACTTGCTCTGGAAGTATACCCACCCCTTTCAGGGTTTGCATCCGCCTGCGGCGCCAGGCGGAGACGATGCCAAAGGCTCACAGCTTCCCGGAAGGTTGTCAACAAGAACCTCCTGATGGCAGGTGCAAATTCAGTGTTCGGTTTCTTTGGCTTCGTCTCAGGCCCATGCAAAGCACCAAGGGCTCCGTCTTGAAGCTTGTGCAGCTTATCCTCTTCAAGTGACAGGGTGACTCAGGATCATGACAGGCGTGTCATATCGTGTCATGGCATGTCAGCCAATTTTCCGAAGCTGGCCTTGACCACCTGTAGTAGGAAATATCGTAAGAAAAGCCCACGTACTGGATGCTGTACCTGTAACACGTTGTAACCGCAAACGAGCGCTCTCCGCCATGCTTGGCACCAGCTGCTCGTCGCACTGCTCCCACCATGCTTTCCATGTCGCAGAGGATGTCGTCCGGAGACTCATCTGGGGCCAGCATGCGCCTGGAAACAACAGCTGTCAAATTCAATGCAGGCATGCCATGGAACCTTGGCTCCGGACACAACCCCAACAGTCACAAGCATGTACAGTCGAGGAAGACAATTTCCCTCATACTGCACAATCTCGAACACCTTGGACCAAATCCACCCAGATCCATGATCGTATGCACAATTTGTCTCTTGCCTCCTCGAGCGAGAAGCCATGCCTCTCAACAAGCACTTCAGCAAGACCATGCGAGACCACAAACACCTTGCCCTGCACAACTGCCGGCCTCTCAGTTTCTTGAAGATACGTTCCCAGGTACTGGAGTTCGACAAACACCATGGAATACCTAGCAAGAGTCGAACGGTACCCCAGCATGACCATCGAGCCTACTCTCGGAACGGACAAAAAAAAGCATGAAGCTCTCACTGGAACCCGCTCAGGATGTTGCAGCTTGTAATAACTCGGAGGTGACAATTTTGAAGATCGAAGCCTGAGATCACGGACACATCACTGCTGATCGGCTCCAACTCAGGCCTGCTGGGAGCCAAGTGCCTGGCTCATTGGCCATGCAGAGAGAGTGGCGCACGGCGCTGTAGAAGTCTCCATGTTGAACTGCCTGCCCAACGCCATGTCACTCTGAATTAGTCCGTCCTCCTATCTTGAGCTTCACTTAAGACAACCTTTTGACAAGACAGGATCTCTCTGCATTGTGGATTGTGTTTGGGGCACCTACACCAGGGGCCCCTGCATTCTGAGGGTACAGAGAGGAACCCCAATCTTGAGAATTAGATTGCAAAGCCTGCTCGACTTACACGAACTTTCACGGAATTGTTGCGAATCTTTCGCGCTTTTCCAAGGCAGAAAAGCGCCCACGCACAACGCACGGAATCTGGAAAGCAATGCGTGCTATTGAAGATAGACATTGCGAGGCTCTGAGAAGTGGATGTTATTGGAAATTCCCCTTGACAGCATGAATGCAACTGTAGCTTACGCTACTTCTTTCGCGAAATACAAAGTTCCTTTCGCAAACACCATTGCGAACTTTCGCGGAAGGGCATCTAGGCCAGGGCGTGGTCATTCTAGAGGAGAACCTTCCACCTGGGAATTTTCGGACGACGCACATATGATGTCCTGGCTGTCTTTGCTTCCTTTTCTCTGTGGATAACGACTCGATCGACACTGAGCGGATGTAATTCCATGGAAATACGGTGATATTTGACTGCATCAACTGATCATGGCCCGCCCTGGCTTTCATTCACGCAAGCATGAGGCAGACACGCCAATTTCGTCTCTGGCTTGCAGCACAGCAGGCTAGGTCGGAGAGCTGTCCTTCCGAAGGTAGAAGCGATGCTCCGCGGCAAAACCCACAGCTTCTTTCAGAAGGCTCTCCTCACTTGCGGGACTTGAACTGAGGCCAGAAGACGAAGCCAACAGAGGCCTCACCAACACCGGTCTCCAGCGCAGCTGTCATCTAAGCCTGGCTGATAAGGTCACGCTGCACAGACGAAAATGCAGACAGCTGCAACTCGACCGTGGCACCGTGGGCTGACGAGATCTCGCGATCGCCTTCGATCCGCAGCGGTCTCATGGCTCGCTGCCATGACTTGCCGCATGTGATTGATTTTGCTTAGGATTAGTCAGGGTTGGCAGGACAGCTTCAGTTGGCAGTGTCCACTTTACGCGGCTGCTTGCATTTCATGCAACCGAAATGAAATTGCGAAGTCGCTGCCACATATTTCTATGAGAACCATCAATGCCAGGAAATCCAGCTTGGACCTGAGTTTGCATTTACGTGTTTAGCAGCGTCAAGCATCTTGACAGGAACGCCAACCACGAAGTTCACGTGCCTGCACCTTGTGCAGATTTCTCCCAATCGAGCTCTCTAAAGTAAGGTGGCCTATACGACAAACAGTTAGGCCAGTATGCACATCGGCATGTAGGAGTTGAAAATGCTCCGAGAACATTGCTGGCTTGAGGTCGCTCCTCGTGCAGCTGAGTATGAAATTCGTGGGAACGAAATTGTGATACAGTCTCTTTGGCGCCATCGAAACAGACAGTGTGCACTTCTTTGGGCCCCAGTGTTTCTGACTTCTAAATTAGGGCAAGTCACACAACTGAATCGGGCGCACAAGACACGCCGTGAAACACCACCACCCGCATGCAGTGAATTCGCTTAGTCTGGAGACACATTTACAGAAAACGACTCAGATCAGGCGGGAGCCCTCCAGGAATTCTTCTACCCAGCGCTCTGCCTTTAAGCAAGCCGCAGCAGCACTTCGATTGCATTTGCGTATTTCCGCGGCCTTGAGCCGTGGAATGGCAGGTGCCGGAACCTTCTTGGGCACTGGCACCTCAGATTCGTGAAGCCCAGAGGCCACCGAGCTTTGCAAAGGCAGTTTTTTGCTTGCTGTTGAGCTTCTCCAGGAACTGCTTTCGCTTTCATGAGCTCCTGCATGTCAACCTTAAAACAGGGCAGCCAAGAGCATGCGTGCAATGGAAACATACCCTCATACCTGAAAGGCTTAATAGCCAAGAGTCGGAACCGATCGGTTTATCCAGGGCCGCCTGCTTGAATGCGCGCTCCTCGCTCCAGGCCTGTCCGACTCCGCTTCTCAAAAGGCTTCAAATCAGAAATCTGCATTGCAAAAGGCCTTGTACCTGGTTTGGACGTAGGACTTCAATTTTGCAGACCATCCTGTTCCCTGGCCATGATTTGCAGAGATTTGACTTACATTGAGCCATCGTTGCAAGAGGTCTGGCGCTTGAGTCCGGCTGTAAAAACGCGTTTCCTTTCCGCATCCATTCTCATGGTTGCCGCGCTCCAACTGTCTCAAGAGAAGACGGTGCACTAGATTAGAGCCTCCAGATACTGCTTTTGCAGCTGACTGCGCCTGCAAATATACTGCTGACGAGGTCAACGGCACGTATCTCGGCATGATATGTTCAGCTTCATGCTCTCGCGGAATCCCCAATACATTACAGAATTTTGTGTGCTTGGGGTCAAAAGGCGTGCGTTGGAAGGTCTAGTTTTTGTGCCAAATTACTTTTGTGTCGGTGTCACGGACGCTTTTTAGCTCTCTTGCGTCGCGTCAGAGAGTGGAAGTCATTATGGTTTGGGCATGGATATGCACTCGAAAGACCTCGAAAGTAGACACAATTTGCTGTTTGGGCATGCCCACCAACCCAACCAGATCACAAAAAACTTCACAAGCCAACGAAACACCACAGCGAAATACGCGTTGCGGACCAACCACATGCTGGGGCCTGCAAGTCACCAGCTTAACTTCTAAGACCGAAATCTACAGCATCGCCACTTTGTTCAAGCTGCACAAATCTCCAGCTTGTCTCCTCAAGGGGCTAACGCCGAACAAATTTGCCAGCACCACCCGAGCTTTCTGCTGTTCGTCGCTTTCCCCCTTTTTGGCTTCGCTTGCTAGAAGTTCAGCCTGCTTCGCAGCAAGTCGAGCCCTTTCAACTTCTGCGTTACCTTGCAGTACTTGCAGAGCAGGAAAGTTAGCACCCATCGATGGATGACAAAGCTTTCTTTTCTCAGCTTGCAGCGAAACTCCTCACGGATCTTCAAAACCTCGATCAAGAATGAGAAACGAACATGGACTGCATCCTGCGACCTTTGCCAAGCATTTGCAACTTAGCACCTGGCTTGGGCTGCCCAATGCGACACCTGCTGGAACCTTCTCAGGAGGACCTCACAATGATATGCTGTGTTGCGCTCTGTAAGGACTAGCCAGACTTCTCAAATAGATGTGTGTCAGTTTTGCGTGCCTCTGGGTCTCTCATGTGCTTGATCCTTCGCCGAAAAAGAAGCTTTCAAGAAGATGCCGGGGGCGTGCAGATGCGTACAGGCATGATCCGGGATGATTTCCCCAGGGACAGCTATCTGAGGCTCCTCTTCGCTCGCTCCAGCGCTTCGTCCGTGCTCATGACCGCTTTCTTGGCCTGTCAGAGTCGCATCTTGCAACACATCATTTGCCTACTTCTCTCTATAGGAGACATCAGCAGATCTCGCTACGGCATCTGTCCGTATCCGAACTGGCATGGTTGGTGCCTTCATCTTGCCAAGGATGTCAATGCTGAGCCTCTCCGCCTCTTGTTTCTTCCTCTCCAGGGTTTCCTCCGGAAGTTCAATCTGTTTTCCCCTCGCCTCCAGAGGTCACAGCAAAGCAAGCAACTGCGCCTGCCAGAGCTCTGCCTCCCGCTTCTCGTCCTCAGACCAACATGATGTTTCTGGGTACTTTCACTTTCTCATGCCGGCCTCTTCGGTCCCAGGAGTCACGCGGTATAACTGCAAAGCACTGCAAAGCTTCACATGGCTACAGCTTCAGCATCGAAACAGGAATGGATTGCTCATGAGATCATTCCCGAGCTGAGTCACCTCGTCCTCTTCCTCTGGCGACAGCAGCTTAGCGCGTTCCTGCCCGGAAGTCCAACCTATCTCAAACTGATAATATGGTGCCATCCTCCTCCAAAACACTGGCCCAGGCTGCCTCCTCTTTGCATTCAAAGAACTTCGGGCGGAAGTCGATTTGCACACGCAGACTGCCACCTCAGCTGATGCATTTGAAGAGATTAGTAAAATCCGCATGAACTATGTGGCGTCAAGTCCCGAACGGCAGCTCAAGCGAAGCGTGCGGACAACCTGAGCAAGTGCTCAACTGCTGTTTTCATGGCAGAACTGGCTTTGCACTGACATGCCGAGTGGGGCTCCGTGACGGGCTCGCTGCCCCAAACGGCTGCTCTGAGATGGCGATAGCGCACCACGACGCAGCCAAGACTGACCGGAAAACCGGGGAAAGGGCATGTTTTGTATGACACAGCTTTCGCGAGTGGAATTGGCCAGGGCGGCGGAAGGTGTGTGCGAGGCACAAGTGGTTCAGGCCTTGCGCGCAAGTCTCAAAAGCCGTGTGCAACTCCACAGCGCTTTCTCTGAGTTTTGCGCACTTCACAGCCGCTCCTAGCCAACACCTGCNNAAAAAAAAAAAAAAACATTCCTAAGTGATAGGACTAGATGCAGTGGAATGCACTGAAGCCCCACTCAGTTTTTGCAAGCCAACGAGACCTCGCGCAAGTTGGAGACTTCATTCCAGCGTCTCTCTGTCAGGGCCAAGCCATCCTCCCCCTGAAAGAACCGTCGGTTTTCAAGCCCCAGAACCCGATGGCGCACATCCACTCGCGTGCTCATGGCACCTTGACTTGCGTCTGCGAGAACTTCAAATCCTCTGTCGGCCTTGGACGCTTGGGTCTGGATGCATCTGAAATTCGAAACGCAGGAGGTGCCAGATGGCACCCCAGGCCCCGGGCTCAGTTCCTGTGAGCTGTGCCATCGCAAGTTTTCGTAATCGCAAGACCTTCCCCGTCGGTCTAGCATGCTTGGTCACGGGCAAACATGCATAGTGCAGCTAAAGCAGGCCTTGCCTCTGAGTCCTCCTCCCTGTCCGCCCGCTTCATCAAGCGCTGAAAGGATTCCTGTTAGCACCGAGACAAAACCTCCGTCATCCTGCACTGCTTTACTCGTTTTTCCTCTCCTGCAGCGCCGACGTAAATTGCGGCTGTTCTTGGTGCAATGTCCTGTCAAACATATGCAAACTGCAAACACACAGTCACCACTTTGCAATCAACATTGCCTTCCACCCGGTTGCTTTACACTCAGGCTTTGGCTTTCCAGTCACTGCTTCCATGTGGGACAGGTTTTGAAGCTCTTCCTGCACAACCGCGAAAAATCAAAGTAGCTAGATCCACTGATCGCAGATTGATAGGCTCTTCGGTTCCTCGTCTAGCCCAAGCGCGGCTCCATCCATAACTTCCTTGGTGTTCTCGCCAGGGGCTGCCACCTGAAACAGCAAAGACCACAAGCAGCTAAATTATGAGAAATATAGGAATCCAACCACCCAGGCGACCAACACGGCAGTTGGGTCTACCCGTATGGTGTCAAAGCGAAACACCTCGTGCCTGGGTCCAACGACCAGTCTCTCAGCTGCATCTGCTGTGCTGCTTTCCTTGGTGTAGCACCATTCCGGCGAGGAGTTCTGCAACACGCACGACGTGAAAGCTGCCTGTGCAAAGGTCAAAGATTGCCAATAAAATTGATTCGTCAAGGCTCAAAGCCCTTCCGCGCCTGAGGCCTTGCCCCGGTCTGCGTGCGTAATTGAAGGTTCACGTAGGCATTGACCTTCAAGCAAATGCTGAAACTTCAGGATGCTCCGTGATGCTCTGATGACTTGCACACATGGCAGTTCAAGGCTAACACGAAGCCCGTTTTGCCCTCAAGGTAAAGGTCCGTTGCCTCATGCAACTCGACATAGCAAAGCTGCAAACACGCTTGCCAAGCTCCCACCTCAAGGACAGAAACCATCATGTGGCCAAGAGCCTGAACGGATCCTCCTTGCGCCTCAAAGCTTCGGGCTGCAAACCAACAAGCCTACGAATCACAGCCTGCTCTGACCTGCCCAACACCAACAGGGCCCAGGCAGGCTCGTCACTCCCCATGATGCCATCAAGCAGGATGTCCTCAATGAATGCAGCAACGGATGCACGGCATGAGCTCTCAAGCTCTTCCTGGTTCCCTTCAACCCAAGTTCCTTCGTCACTGCAACCACATCAGGTGGATCACGTCGTCTTTGTGTGATTTGCAAGGCAGTATCGCCATCCTGCGGCAGCAGGCAGGCTTGCAGACAATGGGCCATGTTCACCGCACATCGTGTACAGTGCATGGGACCCAAGTGGAGTTTTTGAAAAAGTGCACTTTTGGAAGAGAAAGCTGTGCTTGCAAGTCTCACTTGAGCGAACTGCTGGATACTACGCGTGTCATACCAGACTACTTGTAGTGGCAAATACGCCGAAGCCACCGGCCTCTGGACGTCCATGTAGGTGTCTCCAATGGAGAATAGCACGTGCCCCCGCCCCCAACCCTCAGCCAGCCTCCCTATGATTTTTTTGCGCCAGCTCTATCATCGCAAGCTCGGTGTTCTCATGTTGGCTCAAGATGCACAGAAGCACAGCACGGTAGCTTCATGTGCTCTGTGAGTGTACCGTACATGAAACTATCAGGAGCCGAGCACCACCCCTGCCACCTTCCAGCTTGTGGGACTTGACTATAGCTGCTCTGCTGCTCCCTTCTGCCTCGTTGGCAAGAGTTCTCACTCTGCAGCATTAAGGTGTCGCCCTTCGCTTCTGTTGAATTGCCTGGTTCTTGTTTTTGGTAGGGTTGCAAGAGTAGTCAGGCAGGTGATAAAGGCACATGGGAAGTATCAGAACAGGGCATAGAAAGTCATGCAGATGAGGAAGGAATTCATTCATCACGCTACTCCACGGTCTGGAGCTGAGTGTTGCCCAGCCTATATACAGCTGCTCCTGCAGGGGAAAATTTGAGTGCCCCATGGGTGTCTTGGACCATGGCAGAAATTTTGCCAGTGCTCAGGGTTCGGTTTGGAGTGAGCCCGCCTCCCTGGCTCTCAACGAGCTATTCGATGAGATACTCGATGAGATACTCCATGAAACATTCGCTGTGATTGCTATTGGTTGATCCCAAGAGTCGCCCTATTCGCAAGATGCCTCACGTGATCAGAACTGTTAGTGTCAAAACCAATGTGGAGATTTGATATTGCGAAAGCTTCTTTGCAGGCAATTTGCTCTTGGTTTGCCTACCCTCCGTGTGTGGCCAATGCGGGGCGCATACGTGCCCTGCTCGAAAAGGACTTGCCTCATCGGATCTACTGCTTGTGATCTTAAAAAATTGTCCTAATAAGGTGATTTTTAGTTTACGCCATTTTTCGTATAGTCTAACATGTTTGTACTTTGTTGCGTCAGTTAACGCCCTGATTACTTTCTGGTCCATTTTCGATCCACGCGTGTGGCTGGTACCTGTAGAACTCGCCTAAGCATAATTTGGAATGCGTCTACGCGGTCTTGTTCTGTACGAGTTAGTTGTATTGTTTGCCGTACAGTAACTTGCCAAAAATGACTGAATTCAGGACCCTAAGCTTGCATCTTTTAGTTATAGCTTTGGACCAAAAAAGTTTGAGACGATTAGCTATGCTATTTGCTTCTCCGATTTTCTTCGGAAGATGAAGAAAGAAATGGAAAAGACAAGAGAAATTAGGGAATGCGTAGTAGAACAGAAACAAATCAACACCGTTCACGGACAACAACGGAAGGAAACCAAGAAGAGTGTTGAACGAGGCGGCGAATAAAAACAAATGAAACATGGAAAAATATGTCAAAACAGAACAAAATGCGGGAAGCTCAATCTTCAACCCATAGCCGAAACGTCCCGAGACCCAACGCTTGCACCAGAAGCAAGAAAGAAACAGAAACCTGAAGCTGACCCTAGACTCCCTAGACCTTGCCTGCAATCCTGACCGTCGACCCCAACCCAAACCCTGAAGCTTGAAGCCTGAACGGCCTAAATTATGACCCTGCGCCAGAGTTCTGGACTGGAGCTTGACCCTCCTCCGCAGCCCCCAGGCCCCCAAGGCTAAATGCCAGACGTTGAATGCAGGTGAGAGACCCCCAACCCTGCGCATGCACGCTGCACCCGACTCCCAACATCAAGAGGCAACCCTCAGCTGAAACCCTTAAGCGATCACCCTTAGCCTGAATCCTGCAGCCATTAGCATGCTGAATCCGAAGCCTAAATATTCTGGCCCCAAGTTCTACAGTGTGACATCCCCGTAGACCCCAGCCGAGGACGGAAACCTCAAACCCAGATCACAGAGGCATACAACATCTCCCTTTCTAAACAGCACTCGCAACCACACAAGCAAACATGGGGGTTACATAGCTTGATGTCTTGCTACGTCGAGTTTGTGAACTTAGCGGGAGCACCCATGAAGATGTCTACCGGCTGCGGGTCCCAATTGCGGGCATCAATCTCTGCCGAGAAGTCGACCAACACCCGGACGACTTCCTTCAAGCTGCAAGTAAGAAATTTCATATCATTTCTAGTGCAGTAAATGCCTTGCATCGGAAACATGCCAGCTTCACGTCCGCTCCACGAGCACATGCGTGCATCAACGGAGTCCAGCCCTGCTGCTCAGATGTGACTCTCTGCAGTCTTCTGTAAGTTACGAAGTCTGCAGTGTCAGAGAGAGGCATGCAAGCACATTGGTGAAGAAAAGCATGGACAGTTGCTCTTCCAAGGGAGTCAAAAGATTTCTCGGCCGGAAGCATGGGAGGAAGTGAATGAGGCAACTCCAGTCAGCTGCAACTCACCTGCGATGCTAAGAGATGTTCGACTGCCAGGGTGCAGCACCTTGAAGTCTTTGGCATTTGCGTCGAAACCAAGGTCGAGCAAGCACTTCCTCAAGCATTAATTGTCACGCATTTCAGTCGAGCCCGGGTTCAAAAACTGAGCGCTTTGCATCGTGAGCGCTTCATCCTCCATGGCAGCCCAATGCACCGCCGTGAATCCGTCGCGGTCCTGATAGGGGCTTGGCATGGGTTGCAGAAAAAAAATCATGAAAGCCATTGCTGGTGCTGTATGCGCTGCGCTTACAGGCAGGCCTATGGTCATCCCTGCTTGCAGAATAAACTGAAGTGAAGCTACCTAATTTCAGCACGCCTTTGCCGCAGTGTTGGACCCTGCCAGGACCAGCGATGGCAACAGCTGCCAGTGCCTTCCCATGCCAATTGCAGGCACTTGGTGTCCGAGTTGAGCTAATTATGCCGGAGGAACCCTTCTCTGGCAGCCACGCAGAGCGCATTGACCCTGAGGAAACAAAGCTTGCCCGTCTGCCTTGATTTCTGCTAACTTGGCCCGGCGCCCTGCGCGATCCTCATGGTTGACATCCAAGGGCGGGAAAGCCAAGTCCGGATGTTGGCCCTGCAGAGTCTGCAGAGTTGCAAGGGCATCGAGCAGTTCACCAAAAAGGAACATGAAAGAGGCTCGGCTCGGCTCTGGCCTCTCTGTTCTGCAGGAGCAAGTTGACCAAGTCTAGGTGTCCAGAAACACATGCATGCATCAGGAGGTTCCAGCCTGCGAGCTTCTAAGAGAACCCCGTTGCCAAGCTTGGTTTCCTTAACATAATGTTATCGGTAATCTTCCTCTGACTGGGGCTTTGCTGTTCAGGGACATATCCAAAAGGTTCACCACATGCCGCGAAAGTGAACTGTGGCTGGGGGCAGGTAGTGGTTGAGTGTTACGAGCGGGTGAGTTATGTCGGGGGTTCTCAAGTACTCAAACGTGATATCGGTAGGTTATCAATAGCGTTATCGGTTAGAATCATCACCTGGAATGGAAAAGCACTCCGTAACACTCTGACCGAACTACTCATAATGAACTGTCCTTATCGGTAATTTTCCGCTGGTTATCGGTGAAGGCGTGTTGATGAAAAGGGCAATAATTTAAGGGACCTGCCAAGACTAAACCAAGAGGCGCGGGGTTATTTTACTGTCCCACTTGCAGATTGTTGTACTATTGACCTGATGAGATACCTCCCAATTGCAAAATCCAGCCCCAGAATGCACTCGGTAACCACGCGGCGTATTGCGAAAATTGCGGTGACCATTAAATTGGACCCTTCCAATCTTGTCCGCAAGCTGTTTGTGGTGTGTAGCAGGACTGGTTCCACTGAAGCAGCTGCCCAAAACCAGCATGGGTCTCATGCCTGACATCCTTCTGGGACCCCCTCTGCTACTGCTAATGTGGCGTGGACATCGTGAACAGCATACAGGCCCACAAATCACGCAAGCACCACCGTGAGCTTCCGAAATCCTCTGAAGGGTTTGGTCAACATGCCTCTGCTGAATTCTGATGACTGACTTGCTCGGAATCTGTTGGCCAGCTTCGTTGCCCAAGAAACCGAAAAGCATTAGAGCTCCAGCCTTTGGTCTGTGTAAGTACACTGAGACTTTCGCATGGAATGATGATGTTTCAGCGTGACCACAGGCCTTGAGAGTCAATGGCTCCTGCATCACACGATCCCTGTCTTCCAGAGGCTCCATGAACGAGAGCCACCACGCACGCCATGTGCCCACCGCGCCTTGCAAACACAAACAAATCGCACCAGCTATTCAGGAATAATCTGGAATGCTCTGGAGTGTCACTCGCAACTTCTGAAGTCCCCAGCGCAGCATAGTGCAGTGGCGTCTCTCCACGGTTGTTCAAGAAGTCCAATGCTGGAAGGCGATCGATGAAGATACGTAGCACCTGCCGGCAACCGATCTCTGCAGCCTGCCAGCGCCTGCCAGCCTCTGATCTGTTGGCCTCCAAGCGCCCTCTTTCCGCAGCCGAGTGGATCGCCGTGTCTCCATTACAGTCGCCGAAACTTGCTGCCTGATTCATGCTCCCTGGTGCTCGCGCAACCTCTGAAACATGGGCGAGCCTCGAAGTCGAGATTGGCCAACTGCTGAACGCATTTGGTAGACAGCTCAGCGTTGGGCAGCTGCGCTGCGTGATGTACAGCATTCAAGCCCTGAAGCACGCGCCAAGCGACAAGTCAATAATGCTACTAGTATCATGTTATGTACTTGCCACAGCGAGCCTGGGGATCTCTGGCCCGTAGGATAATTGCAGCGTTTTTGTTCAGCTTCATCAGCAGGGGGTAGACCTAGCACAAGAAAGGTGCCCTGCTCTAGCAACGCGACCAAACAAGGCCAGCGCATCAGTCAACATCTGTGTTTCGATGGCATAGATGACCACGTTCCACCCTCTCTTGTCCAGCACGTCCAGGTTTGACTTCTTCTCCACCTTATGAACATGTGAAAGGACCGAAGGGTGGGGAAACAGGAGCCGAAGACCAAGGTACGGGCAATTTTTGAAAACAGACGTCTGTTCCCTCTGTCCATTGCCAGCATGATTGGAGTTCGACCCTCGCAGTCATACGCATTGACACCTGCGCATGCTGCTTGAGGCAATATCGAAATTCATCCCATAGCAGTTGGCAGCAAGAATTACGAGCCCACCAGGCCAGCCCTAAACAGGCAGCTTCGGTGATCATTCCAAACCACTCCGGGTAAGGCCCGAGCTGGCACCGGCTTTCAGCAGCAGGTTTGCCATGCTCTCGTCACCCTCTTCCAGAGCTCCATGCAAAGGAGTTCGAAAATACCTTGGTGAAAACAGCGGAGATGCAAAAAGCAGGATTGCAAGGATGGAAGGCTCGTGCTGATCTGTGGCATTGATGTTCGACCCTGCGCGCAGAAGCAGGTCCACGGTGTCCAAGTGCTCATTGCACGCGGCGGCAAACAGCGGGACTTGCCCCTCCTGAGCCCAAAACATCTGCCACTTAGCAGGTCTGACATGGCACAAAGCCAAGTCTCTGGCCCGATCCGCAAATCCCAAGCTAGCTTTCGCGTCCAGAAGGCGGCTGACCGCGAAGGTTCTGCCAAACCGTGCAGCGTAGAGCAAAGCTGTCCGCCGCTTGTTGTCATACGCGTCCACCTGATTTCACAGCTCTGACAAGAACGCAATCGCCTGACGAGAAGAAAACTGCATGCCTTGATCTTCGGTGAAGACAACAGGGCATTCAGCACCAAGAGCTCAATGCGATGTTGGTAAAATTTCCACACCTCTGCAACTCCATTGGAGTCAGCTCAACCTTTTCCTTAAATGCCTTTGAGTGAGTGACCACATTCGGTGCTGTTGTTGAGATGCTTCCCGCTCCCTTCTCCTTGCTTAAGCCTGACAATTCAGAGCACACAAGGCGAGCATCTGTGGACAGTCACATGTGGCATGCCTGCCAAGTCGGAATCCAACAAGTCCTGCTCTTGTTCCCGCCGCTTCTTCTCAGCATCCTGGCCTTGGATCTCTCACTGTGAAGGAAAACGTCAGAGAAGCCCAGAAGGCTTGGATCGCGACGTGCTTTCAGTCTCCTTGCACGATCCTGTTTGGACACCAGGTCCACCAAGTAGAGCCTCATTTGCAGCAACCCTCTACACTCCTTATGAGTGGCGGGCAAGACCGTTTTCAGGGCAGCGACTTGGGAGACGATGCTGCGAACATGAGTGGGGTGCAGCCATGTTTCTCCTTGACATCAACACAAACAGCTGCAGTATGCTGCAGTGTATTGCTATCTAGTATGCTTGCAACTTCACACGGCTCCCGGGAGTTGACGTCAGCAGTGGACTGCAGCAACAGGTTGATGCAAGCGACCTGCACGAACAAAGGTGTGCAGACTTAGATGACCTGCGCAAAACCAAGGTGCCGGCCTGGCCATGGAATGCTGAGACGTGCAGGGGCGTCCAGCCCATCTTCGTCTTAATGTCCTGGGCCGACGAAGCAAAAAAAAAAAAAACATNNAAAAAAAAAAAAAAAAACATTTCAGACTTCTGGCCAAAGACGGTGAATGCCTGGAAGCAAAGTCACATCCAACATCGAAATCTCCCAGCTATGTACGGAGTAGATAGTCTGAAGTCCTTGAAAGGCTGCATGAGATCTGCATCAAACATCGTCAAACTCTTCCAACTGACTCTCAACAGTTGACAGGCACCAGCTCTGCTGCTTGGATTGACAATACGGGCCGCGCGCTTGGCCTGCTGATGCCTGCTGGTAGACGTCAACGCGCACCAACCACTGCCCCCAGCACCCATCTGGAAAGAGTTCTTAGACTGATGAGTGTGAAGACGACTACTGGGCCGAAACGTCGAACACTTAAGGTATCTGAAAGTAACGTGTGTTGCTATTGCTCCTCTTGTATGCACTGACCCTTTGGCAAACGTTTGAGACGTCCAGTCCTGCAGTTACAACAATGTTGCCGACGTCGTCCCGAATTTAAAGTCTGCTCTTGATGCGCCGCTAAAGCCCCTAAAGCTGCTCCTTGCCCTCGCGAAATGCAGCAGATGTGGGCAAGCTACCCACCGTTCTGAGCAACATCCAACGTCCGGGCTGAGGGGTGCTGAGCTGGGGGAGGGAGAAATAGGTCAGACCCATTTGAGTCGCCTTTTTTTTGGTGGTTAAGCCCAGTNNTATAAAATACTATACCCCTAAAGGAGGATAGAATGAATCTTACTCTATATTGGGTACCATAGTTATTCACGGACTTCAGTCGGTCAGCGAAATTCGGCGTCGAGCACTTTGGCTCCTCAAATAATACTAGCTGAATAGCTAGAAGCGGGCGATAATTGCTTGTAGGTCGGCAAGAATAGTGTTGCAAGATTGGAGGGCCTGCTGGAGTGGCCCCTCCTGAAACAAGGAAGCATTGAGACAACGTCTATAAATTTTGTCAGGACATTGTATGTAGTTGAGGTGTGTTAAACAATGTTGGCACACCGGCATCTCGTCCTCCCAAATAACCAGAGGAAGATGAGGAAGGCCTTCCGTACTGGAAGCAGAGATATGTTGCCCGATAACGTTTTGAAGGGACGTAAAAAAAATAAATTGGCACTGGAATTGTCTTCTCGCAGCTTCGGCGGGCGAAATTGCAGCCTTAATTTCCGCTACCGACACAGAGAGCCAGTAAGACAGAGGCCGTGCAGTGACACCACGTACGGTGATAGAATCAGACTGTTTCAGCGCGGTTCGTTCCCATCTGAGTAAGGTACTCTTGCGACTAAACCGGCATGCCCACCTGGGATTGATGGGGTCAGTCCGCAGAAAAGATTGTCGGGGCTCAGGGAAGCGGGTAAGAAATTCAGAAATTTCCAATAGATGGGTATTTTTTCGAATGTCTGTTTGAGTCTGAATTTGAACCAGTTGAATGCATTCTTCACGCAAATCCCAAGGGGCAGCGAAGAACAACTGCTCAGGAAAGGGCCTGGCAGGGGGCATACGAAGGCACCAATGTTTTTCAGAATTATCCCCAAAATCAAATGCTTGGAAGTCAGGCTCCTCCGGCCAAGCATTTTCAAGCAGCGTCAATGAAAGATTTCTAAATTTCCAAATAATTCCGGAATTAGATACTACTCACTTCTGGTAGTGAGGGCGGGTGCGCCTGAGGGGGATATTTGGAGGGGGGCATGGCTCTCGTACGAGACCAGCAAGACCCCCCTTCCCCCTATTTCTAGGACTGCCGGATATCCAGGCCCTTCCCCTGTTTCTCTGGTCCCGAAAAAACCACAGGTCGAACGAGTAGCAGACAAGCTATTTACTACTAAGCAATCCAACCTCCCTGGCACTTATAGCTCCCCGTCAGTTGTACCCCAAATGCGCAGCTTGACGGAGCACAGCATCTGTGTAGAACATGACCGCGCTTGTTTACGACTGGGATGATGGCATGGTGACATTGAGAAGCAAAAGTCTATCTTGTGCAAACCCCCGTGAAAGGCAGTCTGAATTCAAGCAGCCACTGAGCGTAGCACATGACGAGCGCGGGCTCCAAGAAGTATCTCAACCTGAACAAGCGCAACGATGCCGACCGAAAGCTCAACCCCATCAGGGAAAGACTTAGAACAGAACAGCTCGATGCTGGCCATGCTCTGCTGCCAAGTGCAATGCTGTTCGACCTCGTTGCACAAACATATCTACAGGAGGATGAGGAATTGATGAAGCAAGTTGAGATCTGGCTACACTTCTAGGATGTTCTAGGGCTTCAGACCATGCTGGTCAGGCGAATCGATGGCCAAGTGCCTGCGTTACCATGCTGTCCACGCTGACGGGTTGCTGTTTTGGCAGCTAGCTTTTCTTGCATGGCAGCACTGCTCAAGTCTAGAAACTACATGTCAACAGATATAATGAGCAGGCCCAAAGCTCTGAGGGATTTGCGGCGAACGAGTCATTTTCATCAGGGCCCACCGATTGCCTGCATCGGGGCACTTGCTAGCCGTTTCCAAACCCTTGGCCTTGTTACATCATGCGGGTCATTATGGCCTTTGATGGCAGCCTGCCGGAACTTTTTCAGCTCGGCTTGTACCCGCTCTTTTGCCCTCCATGGCGGACGAGCGAAGAGCACAACATGAGACTTTACAACTCCACCAGAAACTTTGAAGCTGCCGCCTGGAGCTTGCCTCAGCCATCAACTTTCTTTCATCCTCAACAAACATTCAAATCATGGCACATGGCACACCAGAATCTGGTGATCCAGCCTCCTCCTCCTTGTCCTCATCATCCTCTTCCTCCTCCTCGTCGGCCTCTACCTCCTGTTTATGGTGTCAGGCAAACAGCGAGGTTTGCGGCAAAAGCTCAAAAGCTCAAGGAAATTCCAAAGGCGCCTCCTTGCCTTCCTCCTCCTCATCGTCTTCTTTCTGGTCAGCTTCCTTCAGGGAAAACTCTCTCGCTTCTACTCGCCAGCACTGATGCTTGCACCGTTGCACAACATATCACAGCATTTCCACCTCGTCAGGAGCGAGCCCTAGCAAGACATCATCCTGCCCGGTACAGACCTACTTGTGAAGCTGAGAGAAGCCAAGTAAATGCCCGGCCTCGATGTAGTCAGGCCGACACTTCTCAAGGTAGGCTGACGCGCCTACATGCTGATTTATGCTACAGTCCCGTGCTCATGCGTGGCACAATCATTCCATCATGCTCTTCACTAGGCATTCGTAAGGCCCAGACGAGAGCGGGTCTGGTTGAAAGAAATTCGTTCCTGTCGATATCGAGACTGCCAGCATGTATCTTCCCGACACAAGGAAGGCCTCTTCCCGCTTCGCAAGAATGATCCCCATTTGCTGGTCTTATAGGCCTCGCCATAGCAGCTGCAAACACATCCATGCCATGGCACAGAACCATAACAGCAGTCTTAGGGCATAGCGCCATGGCACTATCATATCGGAATGACCAGCAATTCAGGCAAGGCCTGTGTCCTACGTCCTACAAATTCTGTGTCAGTAGGCTGCGAAAGTCAGCATGTATGTTGGTCACTGGAAGCTGGCATTCCGCGTAACAAAGCTCAGTTGCTCACACCCCGTTGCTATCGTGGTTTCCACCTCTTTCATTTTTATGGGCGTCGCATCGTTGAGCTGACATCAGTTGTGCAACAACGTGGCTTGTCTGCAACCCGACATTTCTTCATTTCTTCATTAGACGGTGGTGGTTGTGGAAGCTAGAGCCATGATGGACGACAACGCAGTGAAGAAAACCATCAGGTCAAAAGCCTTCCTGTGTTGTGTGCAATAAAGAGCCCAAGCATGTTTCGTGGGTGCTTCACAGCTTCGGTTTGCAGCTAAGTCAAATACACCCTGAACTTTACCTGCTCAATGTGGCACAACCTTCGAATGTTCTGTCTGTCTCAGAGCAAGAGACTGACCACGGTTGATGTTGACAATCCTGCATGACTCTAGGTACATACCTACTTCCGTGGACTGTGTAGATGTATGGACCGTATGGATGTTATGTTCTGAATTTTAATGCCGATGCAGCAGCATTAGGGCTTCCGTGCGCCCACCCTTGCGCAGTCTTGCGCGCTTGGAGATCTACACACATCGCCACACATGAGGAACGACTTTCGATTGCGCCGCCCCTTAGAAGAACTTGCGAGGGAACGGGGGTTTCAAGCACTCGTAAAAACCCAATGCCGCACTTATAGTCTTGGTACAAGACTGGGGTGTAGAACGACATCCATAATATGGTCATATTATGACGAAAACAGTGTTATCATTGGAGCTCTAAGACTGTGGCCATGACTTTGTAATAACTTGAGTTTTCCCGTTTCCCAATCCCATGAAACGTAGCGAAACAATGCCGTCAGACGACGGCATAAGCCAAGTGCTTGCTTGCTGTTTCCGAACTTACACTAAGTGATCAGTATGAGGAAAACCATTATTTAGGATATATCTCGATGCAATAGTAACTTGATTTGAATTCCTGCACAACTCATGAACTGCACCACCACCACCATCCACCACAGTCACGATTTTGACTTTGGAATCTGGCGCTTGTGACTTGACCGTGATCCTCCAAATTGAAGTTTCCAGCCATGCACCCTCAAGCCAAATTTCAATGACTTTGTTGAAGTTGCTGTCTCATGCACCAAGCCTGATGCTGCTTCTGTTGTCATCATGCTTGCTGCCGATGTCTTGAGTGCTCTTTTTGTCCCGAAGCCCAAACCCAGATTTAGCATGAGTATCCTTCCCAATAGGGGCCCTTCCAACGTCTCCATGTAAAAGTAGGTTTCTTCGCGCAATCCTGTTCAATCCTTGAACAGTGCAACACGGACCTTCGTAGTCGCCTTTGAACCCCTAAAGACTGTTTGGACTCCTTTTAGACAAGGAGTTAAATGGCCAATCTCCTCACCATTGCCACTAAAAACTACATTCATGCGTGGAAAGAGGTACACGTGTCCACGCCATGGAATTACATGCTAGCGAGGTATATTGCAAAACTGTAATCTTCTCTTCGGCAGTGTGTGTAGGACACTAGAAAGTATGAGCTTGGTCTTCCAGGGGGCCAGTCTGAAGCTCTTCGGTTAGCTGCCCAGTGCTTCTATAATGGCAGCTACGAGTATAGTATGGGGGATACAACAATAGTGTGAAGCTGAGCTTCTTACATCTTCTTACATAGTACAAGCTCATCAAGCCGTTGTTCGACTACCCTTTTGAAGCCTTGACGCACCACAACAGAGCTTTGCATACTCCGAGGACTGTACTGCATTTTGTAAGTAGTTGCTTCCCTTCCAAATTCGTTTTCTCTGTACGACCAAGACCACCGTCAAAGTATCCTTCATCTGTCAGCTTAACAACATCCTTCACAAGACGCAATCCCTTAATCTTTTTGGGCAGCGTTGTCCCCGTCCTGACGGTAGCCGTGTCCGTGAAAATTTTCACGGCTCGAGATCCAGCTCGCCCAGTGTACCCTTTATGACAACATTCCGCTGTCTTGGCATGGACAGGTCAAGGGTCGCTGGTACATCCTTGGTCCTTGATCTATGACAGAATGAGCCATTTCTCGTATCCTCTTTGGGTCAAGCACGCGCTGACGCAATCACCACCCGTAGATGGTTTGCTCTCCTTTTCAGTGAGTGGGCTCAACCTATTTAGGCGTGAGCAAACCTGGGTTGAATTAGTCAAAAGGCGCACAGTCGATAATTCGCCTGATTTTTCAACTCGAATTGTTGCATGCAGCCCCTGCCACCATGGAGAGACTGGCCTGAAATCTATGAACTTGAGGTTGCCTGTGGTAGCAGGGTTGGTTTGCTAAGAGCACACTTCTATCCGCTACACGGAAACGAAGGCCCATTGTCGCTAACATCACAGCCAAACCTTGGAATGCGAAAGCCAGACTGGCACTTGCAGACAGCTTAGGATGTTTGAGCTTGCCTAATCAAAATCAATGAGCATCTCCAGGGGTGCCTCAAAACCTTCAGTGCTCATAACTGTACCTATAATATGTACCTATCTCTGTCCCTACCTGCTTGCAGATACCAACTTCATAGATGGGCGTTTACTCGCGATGGCTGGGCCCGTAGCTATACCACCCCGCACCCAGCCGACCAGGTCCTTCATAGAAAGCCGAGCGCGAACATACCATCAAGCAAGCTGCCACATCAGGCAGCATGTCGTGTCCTCGCGGGGGATCCTGGCAAAGTCAACCGTCGGCTGGCCACCGGCACCGAAGCCTTTGTGACAAGACGAATGTTCTTGTTGCTGTAGCAACATGTCTCCGTGCGCCTGTAGGATTCGACCGCCAGATAGGGTTGCTGACAAGGGCATTGAAGATCAGCTTCAGATCCGTATCTGGCACGAACAGATAGCTGACCGGTAGACAGACATAACATAACATAGCAGAACAGGACACACAGAATTGTTCAGTTCAGCAAAGGCAGTGTGCCAAGACGGGCCTTCCCACTTGAATCCTGCGAGCTTGTCGGTCAGGTCGCTGAACTCCACCATCGTAAGACCACCCTGTTTTGCACTCGATGCGCCCAGTCCTATAGCGCGCCCCGAAAGAACTTGACTGAGCCCGCGACGTGAAGCCCAGGATATGTTCTAGCATACTGGTCGTAAAGCGTGCCAACGCTGTCGGTGATCTGACCGGATTAATGTCAATGTTTAGATCAGACCAGAGCGAAGCATTGCTTCGATTGCTTCGCTCTCTGCTCGTGGCCTGGCCTGGCTTGACAAGGCTTCCTTTGCTTTGTTCAGCTTCTGGCTCTTGATGAAGCCAATAACCAACGCCGCAATCTCAGCAAACACACGTGGATCTCGAGGTCTGAACTGATGGCCCCGACTATGCAAGAACAAGAAGGCAGATTTACAAGGTTCAAATCGCAAGTCCTGTTCAGTGCACGCTCTTGGTACCAGACGCCAACGAGCGTGGGCAGAAGACAGAGAACGAAGGCCAGAAACTTCATGAAGGTGCTCTCCTAGAAAGTCAACGACCGACGAGTCTAGCACACTTGAAAGAACCTAAAGGTCTGCAAACTAAAGTGCCAGGGCACCAGATTGTCCCACATAGTGGAGAAAAGTGAACAGCTGAGGAACAGGAAGGCAACGCCCTTGCCTCCCAAGCAGCAACAGCTTAAGAGATGCGCTGCCTGACAGACCTGTGCAAACACTTTGCCTGTCACTCGTGTGAGGATGCCGATGTACTTTGAGAAGTACTCACGGTGGTCTTTGACCTGCCGGCTACGACACTCAGTGCGCAGCGTTGCGTAGCTGCTTGCAACGGCTTGCCGTCTTCATGGTCTTGAAGCAGGGAGTGTCCATCAGGGCAAGGACACCTGGCCCCATCAGCCCCGAAGCTTTCAGCAGGCAGCCACGTGATATCACGTGATCAAGACTTGCGAGGCTGGCCCCCAAAAAGCAGAATATAGCAGGTTTCCAGGAAATCGACTAACCTCAAGCCGGCCATCTTGGGAACCCACATCAGCATCGCACGGAACACTGAGACACTGAGGCGCTTGCTCAAAAGAAAAGAAGAGGCAAAGACCGCCGATGAAGGCTCCCAGCCTGAGTCGGACATGTTTGCCGGTTGTCCTGTTTTAGACATTTGGATCCTGGCATAATTGAGCAGGAAGCTGCGAAAAAGTACTGGCTCCTGGCACAAAGTCTTCAGCTTTCTGCAGCAAGTTACGAGGCTTGTTGCGGTAGCATCAGAAAACGCGGCATCATGTTGCACAGAAGCATGGCGGGAGGCACCAGTCTGGATTCATGGCGAAGCCGAGGGCGCCTTTTTGCGGCGCCGGGTTGTTTTGGGCCTGCTGGCCTCCAGGATGTGGGGGCGCATTGCCTGCAATTGGACGTGTCAGATTCTGCCAAGGATTCTTACCATGTCGCTGCGAACCTACTTGCCCGTAGCCGCCATAGGGGCCCTGAGGGTGTCCAGCCTTGTCTCCAAGATGCTTGGCTATCTTCGCTGGAGTCTGCTGCAACTCACTGGGTATCCAGCTGGAGGGCCCTGGTACTGACCTTGGTAACCGCCTTGGTAACCGCCTTGGTATGGACCTTGCTGATATCCATACGACGGGCCAGCAGGCTGCGTTTGCCTGGCTGACCAAATCAGACTGGCAGCGCAAAGACAGGCGGGCAAAATCAAGACGGCACCACGGCTGCTCGCCGTAGTTCTGTGTTGAATACATGTCCGGCGGCTCTCTCCGAGCCACCTGCAGCTGTCAGTAAGATTGCCAGCGACTTCAAAAGTAAGAAGCCACGCGGACATGCTAAGACTACTGAGAGCCCCGCCGAGCAGCTCCAGGGAGCCCTACTACACTACGAATGCCATAAGCCAACTCAGCTGCAGGTTGGTTGCTGATAAGGTTCAAACACTTCCAGGCTGCTATAGGCGGGCAGGGATGGGCAAGGCATCGATTTTCCGCACAGCCTCTCTTGAAGCGATGTCAGCATATTGGCAGCATCAGTGGTCCTGAGTAGGGACGTGCATGTCAAATCCTGTCACTGCCATGGTGCTGCTAACGCGGCTCAGCAAGGTGTGGCGAGGGCGCTTAGCCAAGCACCTTGTGCTCACGTGAACGCCTGGATGAAGCTCCTTGAGAGCCAATACAGGCGAACCTTATGTCAGCTGTTACTCACATTCCCTGCATTTGCCGAGCTTGAAAGTTGATTGTCTTGGCGCCAGTACAGCATCAAGCCGACAGCCAGGACTGGCACAGGCCGCTGGCTCAGCCGTCGCTGCTCAAAAGCAACTGAAATTTCCTGCCTCCAACGGCTGCAACGGCAGCAACCGATGGTGTCACCCCAGACAGGTCAAAGGGCCTGTCCAGCCAAGCACATCAATGCAGCAGCATGTGTCCTGACATAGGGCAAGCATGACACCTGGAAATCCAAGACGAGCCCATGCTATCCAGCTCAAGGAGAGCAGAATCACCGTGGCTTACCTCTCCACGATTCTTCACAATTCTCCTGAACCCAAAGACCCGACGCAGTATTTGCTGAATTGAGGCTCCCGGCCGACTCTTGAACATTCTCGAAGCTCCCGTCAACCTTTATTCCGGCCGGCATCTCCGGGCAGCACCTTGCGATGGGCGCTTCTGGTACGTTTCAGCTCATGCAGCTCTGCAAGTCTCTGGCGCATTTATCAGGAAACTATGAGTGAGTGGCCGCGACTCAACTCAAAACATTTCTGGTCTTGGCATCTTCTGTTCAGCCTCCTTCCCGGCGATTAACTGAAGCACTAGCTGCTTGTGACCTACACGCCTGAGAATGCTTTGCATCTGCCCAACTTTGTCGACACAGCCAGGCAGCTTGCTTACTTGATGTGCCAGAAGGCGTTTATGGGTCCCTGCAAGTCTATTGAAACCCTGGGCACATCTGCATTTCCATGCTCAGCTGCCTACTACAGCTCTTGCCACCGCTTGCATAAGGTCAGCACTTGTACTCTTCCGTCTTGTCATCCACGGGATGCCAAGCAAGCGCGATGTCTCAGGTGAGGTTCCAACACAGATCTCCTGACATCCCTCGCTAACAGCTATTGGATTTGACGCGTCTGGGTCATGGACTGTGTTGGCACTGCGCGTGCGCGCAGTGCTCTCCACAATCCTTAGCCGATCACGCTTCTAATCTCTTCACTCAAGCAAAGTCTGATCTGGCGGATATGTGCTTGAGACCCCATGAGAATTCGACCCAGGTCCAGGGCTTCCTACAGCAGTGGCCATGGCCTGTGCAGATGTGTGAATACAACATCCTGAAGATCTTGCTAACAAATCAGCTGAGAAGGTGACCATGCTCTTCCACTTTCCAGCCTGCATTTCTGAAACCATGCATGGTGTTCGCAAGTTGTGCGTGAATCTGTTGCTGGCATAGCACTATAATCACAGCATCCACCAGCAACTCTGACATTGGGGCCGAAGCCATTAGAATTTAGATGCTCTCTGTGGCACGAACACCAAGATGAATCCTTGTCATTCAAACGCTACGAAGGTCTTCCCAATGAGGTCGTAGCGTTTTGCTAGTCGTGCTCAGGATCTTGGCTTACCTGTTCTACTGGTCTGCTTGCGTTCCCCCTTGTTTCTTTTCCCTAGCCTCTGGTGGCTGTTATTCTATGCGGTCTCACTTGATAGATCACGTAAGTCCGTGAGCAGGAGTCATTGAGCGTCGGAGAACTTGATTTGTGGCTGAATAGGCTCAGTGTGCTACTAGACTGTTAACATCTGTTAACGGACACGAGCAAGGCTGACTGTGTGTTGGCATGGCAGACAAGACTTAATCGTTGGGACTGTGTGCAGTGAACTGTTGATCAGGCAACTCGTCGCTCCTTACCAAGTGCTCATATCCGATCAGCGGCTGTTGGGTCACACCCAGAAATCCATGAGCACTATGCAAGCTTCCTGTTGCAATACGGGGCTTGATGAAATGTAGTAATAAACTGTCCGTTGCCGCCATAGGCCCTTCCCTTGCATTCGGCATGCAAGGGCCCCGCCAGACGTTTTGGAGGGGCGGCATGTCAGCAACCGTCTCTAAGCCACAAGCATTGTCTGCACGTGCGATTCGCTTTCGTGAGTACTAGGCTTCCAGTCAACGCCGTACAGAAGCGTACACTGTCACATGCGGCTCAGCTTCTCACCCTCAGGGCAAATCTGCTGCCCACCCAGATACTCAGCATGCCGTCGTGCAGCCTCCCAATGTTGACAACATGATACCACGCCGCACAGAAGGGTGCTACGACTGCAAAAGATAGCATCTCGATCAGCAGATGAATACCTTCCTGTGATGCGAAAGACACAGCCTTGGGGCAGCAAATGTAGGGATGGGTTCTGAAGTCAGCCCACCTACGCCAGGTGGCCACAGCGTTCAAGCAAGCAACGCCATTTGTGCGTCGCTCTGTGCTTTCCAAGTTCCAACCGAACTTCACAGGCAGCAGTCTCAACAAAATGCAAATTTCATGGGAACTGCTCTTTGAAGTTCAGCCAGAAGGAACGGAAGTGCTCGCCCGCCTGAACTCCCAGCCAGCAGCTGCACTGCAATCAGACACACCTGCGTCAATCAATGAAGCAAACACCAAGGCTTTTCGGGTCTCACCAAAAGCATGGTGAGCATGTTGACGTTTGCTGCGGGCCCCATGGAGAGATTTGCCAGGCTCTGGGTCAAAGCCAGGCCACTTGAGGAGAAAAAAAATATTCGCCAGTTTGAAGCCTTTCTGCAAGCAAAGCTGCTGCAGGTAAGACCGCAGTGAGCTGACCAGCGTCGAATGCAGCAGGCAGCCGCCTGACAGGGGATTGTAGGGGAATTAAGGGGATCTCTTGCAGGAGATTCACTTTGTAGAAATGCCCATTTCATTTCAAGCTTTCGGGGTCTTGGTGCAGCTGCCTTGGGACCATCCCAACCGGGTGGACAATGCTTGGAGTCATCAGGGTGACCGTGCGGAGAATGATGATGCGGTTGAGCTTGGTGCGGCTGATGTTGATTACCAGCTTGGTCAGTCACCTGCACGTGCCCACGCAAGCATCTTGCAATCTCTGCAGCAGCTATTCGATTTGTTTCACTCAGGTGGTACCCACTGTGGCCTTATGATGGTGATGGTCACCCGACACTGCAGCAGCAGCCTTAAGGGCAAATGGCCCATGATGTCCGCACAAAAAAGATTCTTGCACACATGTCAGGTTGAAAGGTTGCATGTGGTTGCGCCTGCTTTCTGCGGATGTATGTAGATGTTCCACATCTGGGAACGCAAAACCCGACTTACATTTGAGGCCCTTGGGAGCCACAATGACAGGTTACACGCCGCACATGCTGCCCACATTTTTAAGCGACCCACTTCATGGCAATTCCCGGTATAGTTGTATAGGTTCTGGGAAGCATGTTGGTGTCTTCCAAGAGAGGGACGGCCGGCTCTGTACGCGCCGCACTTGCAAGGAGTGGTGCGCCATTCGCAGCACTATCGGGCTACAATGCTGACCTGGGTCAGCAGGATCCCCGCAAGCTTGCAAGAGTATGCTCTTGAATTTGTTCCTTCGGAATCTTCTGAACAGGAAAATCCGTGCAGATAAATCAAAGGACACACCAGCTCCAATGTTGGAGGCAAATGTTCCATTGATCTGTCGCATGACGATCTAGGTTTGTACAACCGTTGGTTGCATAATGCCCTCAAAGCGATCTAGAACGTCAACCAAGAAAAGCGCCCGCGCATCCTCGTACTGCAGCCTGAGGGCAGGGGAAAGCTGCAGAACAATACCTTCATGAATTTGGGAGCATCTGGAGCTGGAGGAGCCAGAGGCTTCTTTTCTTAACCGACCTTGGTCCTAGGTTGGCTGGTACCACAAATCGAGCTGCCTGCATAGCCCAAGCACCGCTCCCACGATCAAGCCATTCCAAAGCAGGCGTGGAAGCCACCCTGCCAGGAGTCCTGCGGCACCCTCTCGATCCTGAATCTCCCAGAGAGTGGCTGGTAGGAGTTGTATGCCTGGCTGCGGGATTCGTGTCAAGACAAGCTTCCAAGCTGACATGCCGGGAAGGCCTTTTCCACTTAGGACCAGTTGGGTGCGAGCAACATCCAGCGGCGTGCACCTGCCACATCTGTGCTCTGTTCAGGGCCCCGCAACGAAGCTCTTTCTTGCTCCAGGCCCCATACATTCCATGCCACAGACTACTGCGTGTTGCTGCACAGCTACTTCTGCCACCCTCGGTGCGGATAGAACATGTTTGCATGCAAGCAGCAGGATGGAGGCGATTGCGGATGCGATCGTGAAAACGAGTATGTCCTCAGGCCAGGCGAGGTGTCTCAACAAGTGCTCAGAGGTGCTCGACGATGCTCGATGCTGGCAAGGCACGGATCCGGCACCGGAAGGGAAACAGTTGGAATCGTGCAATGTGACAAAGATGGCTGTGCGCAGCGCAACCTGCGGCAAGATCCACGTGTCCCTTGGCAAAAGTGGACCCGATTTGTGAGATACAGAGCGGGGTTGGCTAAGCGCCAAATCAAGCATATTGGAAAATCACACAGATCCTGCGGGCTCCGCAGTTTGAAGGCCAGGGTGCAAGTCCGGATTCTAGAACAGATGCGCAGCTTGCGGAAGCTTTCACAAAAAGTGCTACTTTTATCCTTGCTCCACGCATGCAAAACCAGACTATCGAAAAAGTAGTAAGTTTCCTCTAGGCTGATTGAAACGCATCTTCAGGTGACTTTCCTCAGATCGGGATTCTAGCCAACCGTATCTTCTCAGAGGGTTAACTAGGGAGAATGATTACGATGAAATCTCTGCAGGCCCCGCAGGCCCACAGGCTCTATATGCTGAACGTCCTACACCAATTACTAGAACTGTCGATGTCGCAGCTTAAAACTGTCAGCTGATAACATAAGTCTAACAGGGATCGCTAGCTGGAAGCCTGTGTGATTCCTTGAAATGTGATAGCTGAGTGCATTGGTTATAGCATGGTAGCTCAAAGCATAAGGTCAAGGTTTCACGTAGGATTCGAGGCGGCATTCGCGGCTGACAATTGAGGCATGGCTCAGAAGCATTAGGTGGTCAAAGCTGCCAGCCCTGGTAAAGGCTACAAGTTTGCAATGGGCCAATGGCTGAAATGCACAGCGCCTGCGGAACATCCACGGCGCAGAGGATGGGAAAACTCCGCAAGCTTTCCTGCATGATGCTTTCACTGAGCTGGTGGCATGCTTCATGTATCAAAATGTATCACAACACAGAGAAGCTAAAGGCTAAAGAATCTTGGAAAACGCAGAGAAGGATATCACTTTGCATCGTAGCTCCTCCCACATACGGGCAAAGCTAAATTGAAAGGACTTGCCGCTGTATGAGAAATCTTGATTGGAGTATCGCTGTCGCACACGGTCTTCTTCAAAGAGCGCTGTCTGTTGTCCAATCTTCAGAACCTGTCCAGGTGTCTTGACCGCAACATACGCGGCCTCGCCACATGCTGAGGCCAAAGTGGAGGACAGGATGTCGGCCAGTACCGATGGGAGTGTTGCCCGAACCGCTCCGATAAGGCTCTTCCGCACAAGGTCCTTCACTGCCCAGAAGATTGAAAGAGCTGGGACAGTGGCCAGTACTGGCAGGAAGCCGTCATAGAGTCGCTCATACAGAAGGGCGGGATCCGGAGGAACCAGGCCTTGGCCTGTTTGAAGTCTGGTCTTCAGCGTGTCCAGAGGGTGTAGAAGAAGTGCATTGCTGAACTCTACAAGAAATCCTGCAACGAATCCGCTGACAACAACCTCAAGGACAGTCGTCTCTTTTCTGAGAAGGCGTACTGGGCCTAAGCCCAGGGGTAGCTCACCAAACACCCAATACTCGTTCTCTGTGTCACTATCGACTTTCACTGCAACCCATTTGTCCAACATCGGAGCGATCAGGCCCCTAGGACTAGAGGCTTGGACTGTTGAAGTTGATGGGCTAGCCGTGCTTACCGAGTAAGTCTCTAAATCAAATTGCCGGTGCTCGACAACGGCAGAGCTCACATCAGCAAACTGGATGGAGGCGAGCATAAGTCCAGCAATACAAATGGCCCGTATGGAGCTTCCGAGCCAATCTCTTGGTCTGCCAAATCGCCTTGCAATCCTGGAGCGTCTACTTGGCCGGAAACGGAGAAGTCCGAGCAGCGCTGGCCCTCCCACTGCAGCTGACTGTGCATGGGAGCTTATCTGTCGGCTCGACTCTCCTCGGAAGCAAGTGTATGGTCTTTGTGGCGAAGGCGAGTCTGATGCTGTAGCACAACGTGTAGATCTGGCACAGAAGGTGGCCATGAAGGGATCGAACTCTGTGCGATTTAAAAGGCACAGTCTACTTGTGTTGTTTCGCCTGCACATATGATGGGAGGATCTCACATGCCACGAAAACGCTTAGTCAACTGCATGAGTGCGCATGTCGCTGAAGCTGCTCAAAGGAATTGTCTCGCTTGGCGGCTTGGAGCCTGCGGTTCAGGGACGGGTGTCTGCGAACTTGCGAGATCGAACAAGAATCCTAGTCGCAGTTACAGTTGCTGAACTGTGATGGCAGAAACCGCATCTGTCAACGCAAGGTCGGCTTCTGGGGAACTTTGATGCTACCACCAGCATGATGCCATTCCTATCTGACCTTGCAAGGACAAAATAAGGAAATGGATTGGGAGTTCTAGAGGAGAAGTTCACAACTACCTGCAGGGCCCTTCACTCGCGCAGCAACGGCACTTCATGCGTACATGACTTTCAAACCAAGAATTTTGTGGACATGCTTAAGCCCTGATAAAAGCGTGAACCTGGTTCGCTTGCGCCATTGCAGCAGCTTGCTGATCAGTTCTACATGGCCAACCGCATTGCCTACTATTGGTTCGCTCATGGGAGCTGGCTACAGTGATGTTCCCAGTTGAAGGCAACCTGTATAGTTGGTCTCTTAGCCAGGCCTATGAATGGAAGTACGTCTCGGCTGGCGGGCTCTGAGTATGGGACTCGCTTGTGTGACCACTCAAGGCTTGCCAAAGTATGTCGAGCTGCCACCACCGCATCAGCCTGCGGACTGCATAGAGACCAGAAGAAGGAACTACCATAGTATGTCAGTACTCAGGTCCTCACGCAGCGGCTGCCCAGATGGACTCCATGCTCCTCCAAACAGCCGAGGACACCTGACAAGGTCAGGCACAGTTAAGGCCTACAATTCAATTGAACTCGGCCTTGATCGTGCCGGTGGCTGCAGAACCTGTGGATTTCCTCGCTGCAGACAAACGGCCTCGCAGACTTGAGCTTGGCCAAGTTGAACTGGGTAGGCGTAAGTGGTGCAGGTATGTCCAAGCTGAGGTTCTGACACTGCGTGTTGGACCTCCTCCACACATGCAGCGGACACGTGTTGGGCATGCAGTCCTGAGATACAGCTTCCCTTTTACTCAAGGTATCCGAGAAGTCAAACTTGCAAGGGCTGGGAACAAGGCCTAGGCAGTGCAGTGGAGCATCTGTCTTATGCCGAGGGCAATGCCGCGCCACATCCTCTCGCACGCTAACATGAAAACCGAAAAACCAGTCTTTTGTCCAATCTCTGGAGCCTCTGCGCAGGGATGGCTAGCGCCAGGAAAGCGTGACTCCAGCAAGGGGACGAGCTGTTCCCTGAAGCCTGGCCTCGTGCATGCGACTCGAAAACCGACTCAATTCGCATGATTCTCCAAGTCACGTCACCAAGGTGCAGGCTGGATCAAGTGCATCATCTCTTTCAGGAAATGGTCTGGAGCATCAGCGTCGTCCGCCCAGCGGAAAGGTCCTGCAGACAAATACTCGTGGGCGCTGAGGCTTTGAGAAAAGCCGGCAACTGCATTGCAAACCTGCGGCTGGAAGCACCGAAGCGATATCATCCAGGCCCATGGGTCTCGCATCCTCCATGCTGAAGACGATCTCCTGGGGTCCTTCCCAAGTCACCTGCAGAACGAGTACTGGGTACTGAAGTATCCCATCTTTCGCTGACATAGGTTTCATCCATGATATGCGCATTGCTCGCACATGCTCGCACTTTGGTGTCGGCAAGATGTTGAGACCCGCAAATGTGGACCTTGATTGAAGGCTTTAGCTCTGCTCCTTTGAGGAAATTACGCCAGAAGCCATGACAGTCTATGTTCCAATTCACAGTTTCTTGCGGGGACAACGAATCAGCCTCATCGTGCGCTCACTTCCTCCTTCTGCTCCTCATCCTCTTCTCCCCTCCTGCTCCTCTGTCTCCATCCTTTTATGCAAGGGCTGAGCCCACTTGATGCTTACGAGAGATTGCGCTGCAGGATGCGAGACCCTCACTGCAACGGCATCGTACAGGGCACGTGCAGCGGACGGAGCCCACCGCACCACGGGTACTCGAACGTTTGAGACATTGACTACTCAGAGAGTTGGTGCAGCCTGCTTTCGGTCTGTTCTCACGAACCTCGACATGCTCTGCAGATCATCCTTGAGCCCCGTGCTCCCTTACGCACCCAACGAGCAGAGGGGTTTGAAGTCGAGCAGTATGGATATGTAGCACCTTTGCCAGGCCCAAGTAATCGCTCAAAGTCTGTATTTAATTTAAGCCGTTCGCCTTCCTAAGATGTGCACCCACAGTTGCGAAATTTTATTCCTTTAACTGCGTCTCCTCCACGGAATGCTAAAGGTAAAGCTAAGCTGAAGGTTCGCTGAAGGCCTCAGTAATGACCGTCGGCTGGGCTTGGGCATGCCGGGCATGACGCAGCAGGCAGGCCAGCCGCAACCAACTTCCAGTTCGCCTGCCAGTTTGGCATCCTCAGGAGAAACTTGCATGATGTCAATTTTCTCACGCGCAGGCGTATTTCAAAAGCAGTCATCCATCACGAACACTGTAACACGGGCAAGCCCACCAACAAAGTTGCCCTCGCAATGAGGATATCAGGATATAGGGATGTGAAAGGTCTAAGTTACATACAATTACAAACGTCAAGGATTGGCAGGCAGGCGAGCCAGGCTGCTTGATTTGGCGCGCAGTCTTGCTTTGCCATCTATGAACATGTTTCCACGAGCTTGGCGAAGCACCGCAGCAACGGCCAAAAAAAGGAAAAAGCTTCCTGGGACTGTACATGATTGGCCTCACCGAATCCATGGGCGGGGCCTCCTCATACTTAAGTCGCTAAGACCTGCTTTAACCGACTGGGCTCATGCAGTTGACTGCAGGGTGCAATAATGCTGGTATTGGAGATCCGCACCCTTCATGACAGCTAGGAAGGCATACACTTGTCAGCGCCTTCCATCACAATACAGAGAGCACACAGCATGCCAAACAAGTGCCAAAGACTGCTTGTAGTCTCGATTCTCGTTAGCTGAGCCAGAATGATTTGATACACGCCCTGATTGCAGCTAGCACGTCTACTTTTGTCTATGGTTGCAACCAGCTGGATCAGAGCCCAGGGGCGTCGCATGTCATAATTTCAATCTCAAGCTCGCGGACAGCATTTAACGCAGGCATGCGAGGAATTTTCAGACACGGAACATCTGAAGGGACTGCATTCAAGCAGCAAACTCCAAGCCTATGTGCTTGGCTACCAGCCTTGCCTTTGCAAACGCACAACGCGAATTCTGCCCTTTCAAGCACCACACCGCCCTGACTAAAGAAGCAAATCAAATGCAACAAGCGCAAAACAAGTTTTCTGTGGTTTGCCCTGAAGTTCCCTGAATCAAGTTTGTCAGTCTGACTCAGAGTGTGCGAACCCATCTAAGCTCCACTCCCCTGCCACTGTTGCCTTCCCCAGCCCTAACCAGGCCACCAATCCTGCAACCCAAAAACTAAATCATCATTTGCCGTCGATGAGACTCTGAGCGCGCCGTTTGCTCAGCCCACCTTTCGATCACATCTTCACAGCTGTCCAGCCATCCCGAATAGAACTCCCTTCAAATTCCGGGCGGTTGGGCATTAGATGCTCACCAAAGTTTCGAGCGTTTGCATGAAACGAAAGCATCACTAGCAAGTCAGACCATTTGTGCGTCAATGCGTTAATTGCACACCCCTTCCTCCTCAAGAACTTGGCCATTGATGAGCTGGGCTCTCGCTTTTCTCGCCCCCTTTGCCCTAGAACGTGGCATCAACATAGATAGATTGCTACCCAACTGCGCTGAATGTGCAGATAACGTCGCCGGCATGCGCACGCTGGGCAGGTAAGGGTTGGATTTAGGACGAAGCCTTACTACAGGCCCAGCATCTTGACTGTTTTTCTCCATTGCAACCTCAAAACCACCATCACCCCCCAAACAAGCACTTTGAAGTGTCCGGACTTCCGCAAGTGGGGGACAACAAGGTGGTTTGACCCAACATGACCTAAGGCTTTGCAACGCACAGTGGAAATGCACAGGGCTTCATCCGATCTTTTTCCCGGCCCTTGCGCTGGGCAGGTTATCGCTTGCAGCCCTCGTGCTTTGTGATCTGCGACTCATCGTAGCTGGTAAACCACTTAATGACCTTTGCAGCACGCGCTCTGCCAATGCCAACTTGAAAATAATAGAGGGCAAGCTGCCTCCCCGTACGTGCCGCCGTATGGCTGATGACTGCCTTCGTAAGGCATGGACAGAAGATGCACGCAGATGAAAGCAGCACGAGATTGCCCATCGCAAGCGCAGGTTCCATTGGTGATAGATCCGCGCTGTACTCAGTGGCCTTCGTTGATGGGCATAGTGTACTGGTACAGCGCTGTTCCCGGCCACAACCTATCAGTGGGGCGCTCGTGTCCTTTCTGGTCCAAGCCAACTGCAGAGCAGAACTGCAGCCAGAGAACTCGCAGTCCAGCAAGGAGTGCCTCACAGTTGTTCCCCTACACCACGGACTCGATCGAAGGCATTGCTTGGAAGCTAATCTCTGGCAAGCTGCGTCTGTGCAAACTCGCGGAAATACAGCTTTTTCAGTCTCCTGTTGAGCCTGGGCATGCACGTCCACATCTGAGTTGCACCAGAATTGCCACACTGCGGGCGAGGATCACTGCTGCATTGTCCCCCAAAGTCGAGAACGAGAGAACCTTAGGTAGTGCTGGCAAGGGCCAATCAGTAATTAGGCCGAATCCATGATTTTGTTTCCTGAGAGTGTGGCCAGATTGGAAGCCCGCGTCAACGCACAGAAGTCCTTGTGCAGCGAAATCTTGCGAAACAAATCTGGAAGATCTAAAACACCCTCGACATTTTGGACTGGTGCGGCTGTGGGGTTTGGCCTCCCGCAAACTTTGAGCTTGCACGATTACCTCTCACGGGTGTCAGTCTTGAGCAAAAGAAATCCCCAGCATCCGTGGCTTACCCTAAGTCGTAGCGCTGACTGTTCATGCTCCCTCCCCTCTCAGTGCCTCGATGCCAAGATTGGCAGCGTTTGACTTGAGCCATTCGATGCAAACATGTCTCCTTAGCTGGCGCAAATGAGGCTAGGAAAGGGGATGGGCAGAAACACGGAAGAACATGGTTTTGCTCCGGGACCCTGGGTGAGCGCAGGTCGTGCAATTTGCCCAACCCGTGGCTGTCGCCGAAAAGATGAATCGGGTTAACTTGTCCGTGGCCTATAAAGAAGGCAAAAGAGAGCAAGATGTATCAGGCTACAACTAGTGGATCCTGAAGTGAAATCTGGATACGTGGCTTCCCCTTCTTGAGGCATTGCTTCCAGAACGGTGGTCGAAAAATTTAGTTGCCAGCTGGTGTTCGAAGGAGGGTTCCTTTAGTGATCTCTCGAGTCTACAGCGTACTGGATGATAGGCCAAGGAGCAGATCTGGGCTTGTTACCACGAGCACTTTCTTGAAACCTGCGTTCACGGGCATGCTGCATCAGCAGCATCATTTGCCTTTTGCTATGCTAAACAGGTTGACAACAAGAAACCCACACCATCCAGCAGCCTTCTTCTACCTAGGCTTGCGCAGTCGCAAGTGAGAGAGAGTGTGCATTCGAGTGTCCGCATAGTGGTAGGCAAATGAGCTCCTTACAATGATCTTTCGATACATCGTACAAGGCCTGAAGTCCAGATCCAATTAGTAACGTCAAATTCTTTCTCGTGCACGTGTCTGCCTTCGCTGCACCAAGCAAGACAAACGACAAACCATCGGAGTATGCATAAAAGGATGGCACATCATTGCCACCATTACACAGGGGAGTTATACAGGGATTAGAAGGTATTATATTGGGGTTATATAGGGATTCTATCAGAGGCTCCAGTACAAGAAGCCAGTAGCTGGGCTGCCAACGGCTGGTGCCACAGCCAGTGGTGCGCAGGCGCCTGATAGCGGTGATGATGTTCCTCATCTGCCAAACCCTAAACCCTCAATAGTAGTTTCCATGTTCTTTTCCATTATCCCCTATGTAACCACAATATATACCCTATGTAATCCGTATACAAGCCCTAGGTGACCCCTAGGTAACCCTATATAATCCCTATATGTAATGGTTCACTTGTCCAATGCTGCCAAGATCTGCCCCAAGTCGTGCGCGTCCATTGGGATGGGTTTGTTTGAAGTCAGCTCAAACTCCGCGAGACCCCAAAGATCCTCCAAAGGCCATCACTGCCCCCAGTCACCAACAGCCCAGAAAATCTCAGAACCCACCTGACCGCGCAAATGAATTGTCAACTCCTGACAGGGAACTAAAGGACAGTGCGCAATGCTAAGAGAGCTTTCATGCCATGCCTTGGCATCGTCTGAGCTGGATCTGTCCAGGCCTGGTGGGCCCAAAGGCGAAACAGCTGCAGGAGCCGTGAAGGCTTAAAAGCTCAGGCAGCTTGCACTGTTGGAATTCAGGCAGGAACGCCTCATTCAAGAGTGGCAGTGTCTAGCCCACATAAAGGCATGTGAGATCGCAATGACCTGTCGCAATAAAACAGTGATAGCAATCGGCCTGCTGGAGATGTTCAAGCGCCATTACACGGAAGTCCTGCAAATGCACGTACATGTCGCTGACTTCAACCAAAAAGCGACTTGCATCATGCGGCGCTCCTGTGCTTTGCTTCCCTTGCATCTTTCACCCTGCATGCACTGATACACAATAGATGACATGAAGACACACGGCATGCAGTCATCTCAGGTAGCCATTTCTTTTACTCTCCTGCCTGGAAGTTGTAGATAGGCCTCCCCAGCTGGCGTTTGTCTGACCTGATGCTGAGACTCACACGTCCCTCCCTTGCGGTTATTCATTCACCAAGCACTCGCTCATGCATCCAGGCGTTAGGATTTCCAAGGTCGCTTGCTTCTCAGGGCAGAAGCGCGATCCTTCCACTTTGGAGCTGGCTAGGGGCAGCACTGCCTGCCGAAATCCAGGACTCCAAGCTTTCAGGCAGCCTTGCAAGCCTCAGCATGCCCTGCCTTCCCATCAAAGATCTCCCGCAAAGACTTTGTTGCCAGATTCAAATTCACTACTGCGTGGTTGGTCAGCTTCGCGAACAGCAAGCCACCTAAGTTTGTGCTTGTTGTCAGGGAGGAACCGCGGAAAGTGGCCCATGAAATAGATGTGGCAAAAAGAGAGTCATGAAGCCCCAAGCAGTGCAGTAATCCACGCAGCCAACTTTGGACAAGCTTCGAAGTATGAAAGCCAAGTTGTTTCCAAGACGACCAGAGCCATCAGTCACCTATTCAGACTTGCATCCATGCAGCCCCCACAGCGTGAAGCCAGGCATGCAAGTGCTCTTCAGCATGGGCTTGTGATACTTGTGTGAGCGTGGCACATGGCCTGCATGGCTGGACCGTCTGCCGGGCTTTCTATGGCTTGCAAGGTTGCCCTGACAGCTGCGGCCGTCCTGCTGCGCTTGTGCTTCGCGATTCACAATTGCTCACACAATGGTCACAATAAGCCCAGAGGCGTTGAAGGCGCAGGAGGCAGCGCAGAAGGCGGACTTGTGGCAAGGGGGGCTCCAGAAGTTGCCTGAACCCAAAAGTCAGAACCATCTTCCCTCTGCCAGGTACTAGTTACTAGTACGCACCCGGAGGCTTTGCGCTGAAGCAGCATCTGGACCGGGCATCGCTGTCGGTGGGCCTGATCTGCTTCCACATCTCTTCACAACTTTGCAAGGTTGCACAGAATGCGCAGGTCCCCTCTCCTGTGTCTTCGCTTCTGGCGAACCCACCATTGGCCAAGTCCTTCGCTGGTTGCTGAGGAAACCAGGCAAGCAGAGCAAAGGACCCACCAGCTTGAGGTACACGTCCAACAATGTCACGGCATCGCCTGCCCTGCGCTTCTGGGAGCAAAGCGGCATGGGCACTTTGAATGCATACCCCGAGTGGATAGCCGCTGCCTGTCTGAAATGACATAGGCGCTCAACGCCAAAATAGCGAAAAGTGCCTCAGACATGAGCAGATTCTCACTGGGATGTGTGTGACACCGTCTGTCTGAAGCGCAGCAAGTTGCTATCACCAGGAGCCCCCCGGAGCATGGCAAGCGGAAGCAACCGAATGAAAAAGTCTCCTCGGGTGGCTATTCATTGCCACTTGGGGAAACTTCGTGTGCACAGCAAACTTGGACCCAAGATTCGTGAGCTTGCTTTGGCTCACTCCTTTGCCTGCCACTGCACAAACACGCGTGACATGAAGCATGAACTCGGCAACCTCTGCCGACTCTGGCGCCGCTTTGAGCGCGTGGAGCTGGTAGCTCTGTCAGCAGGTAGAGGCATACTGCCTCGCCGCCATGGCTGTCCCGCAACATCCAGACCGATGTCGCGGAGCGTGCAAGCTCTACATGGCCATCCCCAAGGCCACAGATCGTGCCGATTGGTTTCAACTCTAATCAAACGGCAGACGATCCTCAACACGCCAGGTTGTGTGCGCTGACTAGCTGCAATATCTGCTATCTATGCATGACCTGCCGCATGCCAATGTAGTATGCTTGAGCTGGTACCAGCGTGCTGACAGGACGGTAATTCCTGATAGGCGCAGCAACTTCCCAGATACAAGTACCCAGCAAATGGGAGGAGAGGTTGGAAGAGGCTGGCTTCAGTCCTTCTCCACTGAATCCTGCTGATGGCATCAGGGGCATCTTCGGCCCGTGCTAAGCATATGTACAGACACCGCTTTCAGTGAAGGTAACACTTTGGTATCAACCTGCACGTTGAAGCAGTGCTAAACCAGAAGAATCGAGTGCGGCTCAACACCCTCGCTGGGTATCGCCGGCAAAGCTTCCCAGCCACACCTGGACGTCAGCTTGAGTTGCCCCCGGACTGACAATGCAAGCGACTACGTTACGAGTACAACAAAACGGTTTATTGTCATGCTGTCTAACGCCCTGGTTTTAGCCTTAATTCCATCTGGCAGGAAGTGTCCTACCTTATATGCTCCCTCAACCTCGTGCTGTTAACCAACGACGTGAATGCCGTCCTGAGTTTGATATGAGTCACTGCTCTCCTAATCCTTCAGCTTAAGCTTTTGATACCTTGTCGGTTAGAATTTGGAATTGGGATTCAGTAATGACTCCTCTTTCGCTTGTACTGGATGTCTGGATGTGGACACCGCATAATAATAGCTATGATCATGCATGTTTTCCCCTCCCAGCAGCACGGCGTAGCAAGCCGACACTTAGCAAGAGCATCGTACCTACAGATCACAACGGCCTTCATACTGAGGAGCCAAGCCTGGGTAGCTAGTTTGACAGATTCACATGATGGCAGCTGGCCTGGACAGGCAAAAGCGTTCGAGCGAGCGCAAGCATTTTGATGGACCACTGTCGGAGTAGATTCGACCTACAATGCGGCAAGGAACCCCTCATCAGCAATCAAAGCAACTACAGTAACTACAGGCTCTGCAATGGGGTAGAAGTGAATGTGATCCAGCAACATCGGCAGCAGTGAGGCTGGCAGTATTTGGCTGGTATCTGAGCAAGCTACGCCTCAGGCAGAATGCCGCAAAGAATGTCACTCATAAGCCATAAGCCTCTCGCTTGTAAAACTGGCAATTATGAGGGGGTGGGCCGTCACCACACAAGGGCCAAGCATCTCGTGCTAGTTGACCTTCTGAAGCTAGCCTATTTGCCTTCACACATACAATCTGAGCTCGAGAGCGTGAAAGCAGCGAGAGCAGGCTTCACAATGAGACATCCACAAACAAGCTGCCTCCGCACATGTAGATATAACCTGAGATGCAGATTAAACAACATACGTCTGCAAGCAGAATCAAGCCATTCCTGGGAAGCTTGAACGCGAATGCCAACTGCTGCTTCTATAGCTCCCCACGCTGCACCTTCACATCCGTTTGAAGAGTACTTATGTTTGCTCACATCAAACTCGCCCCTGCAGACGTGCTGACATGCAGCCCTCAGAAGCCACAGCGCCAGCGTTTGCTCTCGGGATATTCATTGATGGTACACTCTCCCAGCAGCCCAAAGCAGGATTGAAGGCCTCGACCGAGCTCAAATCCTGCGCGGAAGCACTACTCACAGTTAAGTGGCATGCCCAACACACTCGCAGGGATGCTCCTCCGCGTCGTTGTCGTCCTTGCCACCACACACCTAGCAGGATGCATCATATCTGGCATCGCTGCCAAACAATGATGGCTGATGGAGTACGCGACGACTATGAATGTCAATGCATAACTAATTTCCAACTTGACCCACCAGTAGGTCGATGACGCAGCAAGCAGCCACAACGATCAAAAAGATTGAATGCAACCGGTGTGCGTAGATGCGATTGTTGAAGGCAACCATAGCAGCCTGAGGTAATTTCAGGACAAACTGTGCAGTGTTGCAGACCTTTGAGAAGTGAAGTGCAAACTTGTGACATAGTACCGCGGCGTTGTCATCGGCGGCAAGCTTTCCCAGCAATGGGAAGATGGATTGAAGCCTGCATCATGGCATGTGCTACTTGCACCGAAAGCCTTGACCCAAATCACATCATCGCCCTCTTCGTGCAGACAGACCGCGTTCCATACTGTCCACTTCATGGCCTCCCCGCACCTCGGTTTACGGGCTAGTCCAGACCTGAAGTTTCGTAGAGATTCGTAGAGGAGCCAAATGAGGGTGAGGCATCAAAAAACACTTTATAAGCATCAAAAAAACTTACGCCCGGTGCATCAAAAAAACTCTATAAGCATCAAAAAAAAACTTTTGTACTAAATTTAGTAGGGGCTCGGACGACAGGCAAGCATCAAAAACAAATCAATTTTGTTGCCATCTAAATAGAAGAAGTAGTAGCAGTATTGGTAATAGGGCAAGCATCAAAAAAAACTTAATTTTGGTGGCATCTAAATAGGAGAAGTAATAGAAGTAGTAGTAGTAGTAGTAGCAGTCGTAGTAGTAGTAGTAGTAGTAGTAGGCGCCCCCCCCCCCTACCAACTATGTTTGCCAGATTGCGCATGTTGAAACCACGTAGAAACTGAGGAAATACTG